AAGAGCACAAAAATGTCATCTTTGTGTAAGATTAATTTTCTTAGAAAAGCAGCTTAAAATACAAGAAAGCACAGCTCACCAATTTCTTTAGGTACACTTTCAATTGAGTTCCGCGATAGATCCAGAACAACAAGACTCTGAAATCTTCCAATGAACTGAGGAATTTTCTGCAAACCAGTTCTGTGAAGCTGCCATTCCTGGAGATGGGCCAGTTTCAATAAGCACGAAGGTAGTGTCTAAGACAAGAAATATGAACCAGAAGAAATTCAGCTTAGTATACAACAAGAATACAGGCTAACGTAGAAGTTTTATTTGAAACAGTCTTGTGAGTTAAAGAAGAAAGGAAAAAAAAAGCAATCTTTCCTCCTTCTCAAACTATACTGGAACATCCCAAAATGAACACCATCAATGGAGGTCATTCTGACCACAAATTTAACCTGCCCACTTTTTGTTACCAGGCTTTAGATATCTGAAGAAATTCAGCTTAGTATACAACAAGAATACAGGCTAAGGTAGAAGTTTTATTTGAAACAGAGTCTTGTGAGTTAAAGAAGAAAGGAAAAAAAAAGCAATCTTTCCTCCTTCTCAAACTATACTGGAACATCCCAAAATGAACACCATCAATGGAGGTCATTCTGACCACAAATTTAACCTGCCCACTTTTTGTTCCCAGGATTTAGATATCTGCACTACTGTCATTGCTTGAAAAGCATCAGGCTTGCTTTTGGGTTTTTTGTTTGTTTGGTTTTTAAACAAAGCCAATATAACTGAAGATGAAACTGCTCTAAATAGCTTTTTGCATTTAACTGGTGATCTAAATTGTATTTCCTATTCTGTTAAGAAAAACAGTGAGCATCTGAGAGCAGGAGAGCTGAGGGATAGAAAAACTACACTGTCTGCATGCTACAGGTTCTGAACAAGGAACGCTGGCCTGTGCACCACCAGAGTATTGCTGGGTGGGCTGGCACTCTCTGCCCTCAACCTGGTCTAATTCTCATTAGCTCACAGGAATTGGCTTCTGCGTTTCTGTGTAGCTCAGAACAGACTGTTCGCTTCCGCTCTCTGGTTGATTCTACAGTTAGCCGCTTCTCCCGACGCATTAGAAGCAAGTATTCTGGGAATCCACTGGCTCATTTTCACTCTTAGAAAGTAAACAACAGTAAGAAGTATTTTCATGCACCTAAACACAGAGGGTTTTCACCTTGATGTATTTCAGTAGTTCTGGTATGTTAATGTTAAATGAGGATTTATGAAATTAAACTCATAATTTGCAGTGTAAATAATTTCTAACGCAGAAAAGCCTTTTGGGCTCTATTTTTGCAGAGTAATGCTTATTACTCGGGACTAAAAAAATCAGCCTTTTACACTCTCACAACAGTGCGTCTCAATTCATTGTTAGCAAAGCACAGAGTGAGCACTTCACAGATTAAAAATAGTACAACGGTGAGCGTAAAGTTGTAAATAGTAGTTTTCTAATGCACCAGTCATTCAACGCAAGCAACATTCATCCCTATCAACACTACCTTCCATTCTTCTTCCTCTATCCTTAAAATTGCTCTTCCATCTTCATTAATAACTTTTTCTTTGAGCTTTGCTAAAGCAGCTCTCTCCTCCCAGACAAGCAGTAGCCTACAAGGGAAAGAAGAGCTGTCAGTGGTGCAACAATGAAGACAGGCAATAATTATGACCCATTCTATCTTCTGGAACAAAGAGACGGTAGCCTTTCTGGATGTCAAACAACATTTATTATATCTGGCTGCTAAATATACCATCCATTTGAGGGAAGACAAGAACATGAAGTAATGTTTGGCTGAGGTAATTTATAGGAGTTCTATTTCACAGTTCTTCAAATTTACAGTCAGAAGGAAGACATAACTTCATTCATTTTGATCACGTTGCAGCAGGGCAACAGAATATCAAGTCATGTGAAATTAAGTTCCAAAGCCATTAATTTTGTTTGAAGCAGTCTCCTAAAAAGAAAGCCTCAGTCCCACCAAGTGTAAGTGCAATCAAAACAGCTCAATCGGCTAGGGATTCTTTTAGCGTGATTTCCAAAGGGGACTTAAACAAGAATCATGAAAATTAGGCTAATTCTCTTTCTTTCTGCTTGTGTTTTCCATTAGTAACTTTTAAATTTGTTATTCTAAACACATTTGACAAATTAGGAAGGGTTCCAAAAATAGAATGCTAAATTTCTTCACATTTCATGAAATTGCTGGCCAGACAGAAGACCAAGAGACCCTGTAATGCCTCCACTGAGAAGAAAGCACAACAAATTGAATCTCCACTGGTTAGAACATCCACACAGAAGAGGATTTTAATATCTGAATTTAGGGGATTTAGCAGATATGCTAGTATTTTTATCACAGAACACAATTCTTGGTTTGACCTGACCATATTGCTAGATCCTAACCAGTGGGAGTTCTGCAGGAGTAACGACTAAAGCATTAGACTCTCGATGAGTTTGAAAAGACCGATTATAGTTTTCTGAAATGTAACATATAGTCTAGCTTTTCACATACTTAAAGATCTACAATTTACCTACCTTCCTGCAGACCTCTGTCTGAATTCCTTTTCTTTCTGTAATTCTTCATTTATCTTGCTTATTCTCACTTCCCAAAGTGCCTTCACAGCAGTGAACGTTCCAACGCAAACGGCAGTTTCCATCATGATCCTTACATGTTCAGATTCGGTCCCAGGAATCTGACTGCGAATTTCAGGCTCAATGCATCAGCGCATGTACCAGCTACCACATGGGGACAGTGATGTGAAAACTAAAATACTGCAAACCCCACTTGATTATATTATTAAACATAGTTAATGTATAGAACTGACAGAATTTTACCAACTGCTTTTTCTTTATAAAAATAGACAATTGCACCTAGTTAAATTTTCTTATAATAAGAAATGGTATTCTTGCAATCTCTCTGCATTCTTAGCCAGTGAACAACTGCTTCTCTCAGTTCCTTCCAATGTCAGGCTTAGAACTGACCATAATTATTAAACACAGATATGAGCATTCATTCCCCTCCCAGGAAGAAATTAAGCTGTTACCTGCAATTTAAGGCAGTTACATCCTGGTAGCTGCATCCTGGCAGCTACCTGGTATAAATACTTGTAACTAAAGGAGTTTTGTGCTTCAGAGAAACTGAACTGTTGCTGGAAATAAATTAGTATACTTTATTTGCATTCATTTTCTTCATAGTTTAACTCATAATATATTTTATAGTTAGCAATGCATTACCTTTAAGAAAAGGCTTTTAAAATTCTTCAGATCTCTCTTTGAATCTCCTTGTAGACCTGCTTAGTGTCAGGATCCACATTTAAAAAAAAAAAAAAAATCAGCCTGAAGTTTTGAAGTCATCTATTCCTTAGTGAGATAATTAATACCTATTTTCCTGAAGAGCAGCAAAGTAGGATACTCAGTCATCCTAATCAGTACATCCCTCTAAAAAGCATTCTTATTGCCATTACTGTAGTCATTTGGGGAAGGGTGGGGTTTTTTTTAAATAAACTGGAGCCAAGATATTGATATTCATAGGCTTGGAGGGCTAAACTTCATGCCACAGCAGTGTACCCTGAACACTGATGATTTGAATGCTCCCTTTCAAACTTTTTACTAATACTTGCAGGGACAAGTAAAAAAAGTCTTACATCTCTATTCAGACTAAAAAAAGTGAGGATAACTTTCTTCCAAACAAGCAGGTAGATAACAACAGAAGTGGGATTTCAGGTATTTTAATGCATATATTTAAACCTACAATAATTGCTGTGGGTCTGTCTTTTAGAGCAATCTTTTCTATCATATTTATTCCATTATAATTTTGTGTAGTATGGATACGCCGCAACTGCTTAGTGAACATTTTTGTGTTCAAACTGTCAATCATTCTATTTTATGTTTACCATCTTTTGCTAACATAGTAATTTGTAAAGCCCGATTATACTGAAATCGCTTAATTAAAAATGTATAGGCAAGCAAATAATAAGAAATGTAAATTGTCAGGATTGCTTCCTGTTGGAAAGGCAGCAGGAAATCAAATTCTAACACTTCAATAAAGAAGAATCTGGTCCAACACTTTAATATTAAAGATTCTTAACTGTTCTCTGTTTGTTAAGGAAAAATGGCAGGATTTGACAGGTGATGCAATTGGCAACCGCAGCGTGGCACAATGCGGTCTGGCATTTGGGTTCCTAAAAAGGGATTGAATTTTTTCCTGTAAAGAGAGGATTGTAT